ACTCTTCCACCTTTTATCAAATGATTCCACTTCATCAAAATACCCAGTGTTTACTTCTGAACCTCCTTCGTTACTTGATTCCATTTACTCCTTCACTCTCTGCTCCCAGCATTTGCAAACAACCCAGGTCTTTGGGTTGATTTTCCATTGAAAAGGGCACCTGCATTGCAAACCTGTCCTTCTGCAGAATGGCTGCATAGAAGAAACTGGCTCAGATGCAAGAAACTCGCAGCAAACGTGCGAGCAGTCTCAGCCTAAAGCCGGACAGCTAGTGAGCCTTCCTCAGCACTGTTTATGGTCCTGCAGGCTTTTAAAGTTTGCTTGGTCAGTGGTTTTCCTGAATAGGAAGCTGACTTTGCCACCTTTCTCCCCAAGGTTCAATTAAGACAGTGCTACGTGGTCACTGCCTGAGGTCTCTGCCTTCGCGCGTCTCGACATTTAAGATACAGGGATTAAGCTGTCACTCTTACTGAATGTAATTCTTAATGGGAGCGTTTCTATTTGTGCTCTCTGCTGATGGTGAGTTGATAGCCTTCCCCTGCCGGGTCTCCAAAGTTGTTATAAATCAAGAAGAAATACCCACAGCTGGGGGGGAGTTGAGATCAGATTCCCCAAGAGTTCAGTGCTGTTCCCCTCCCTTAGAAGGAAACACGATGTGGATCACACTTTGTATGTTTTGTGCATTGTGGTTCCCAAGAGTAAATCTCAGATAGGCAAGCTTGCAAAATTTAGCAGCCATGCACTCACTGTTCGGTAGTCATTACCTCCTCACTAAAGCTGCTCTGCATGGTGTTGATCAAGAACTCTACTGCTTCTCAGTCCTTGCCTTTCCTTCCACAGCCAAAAATCTCTTCTGTCAATGTGAGAATTGGCGCTCCTTTGCCTGCCCTCTGTTTGCAAGAAGGCTGTGCAACACCCATAATATTCTGGTAAAGCAATAGCAAGTGGGGCATGGCTGTCCCACAGCCCAAACCTGAACCTTCCAAAGCTCTGTCTGATGTACTGCAGGGCGCATTTGATAAGCACTTCACTTATCAACCAGGTTCTTGCTGTGGTTTAGAACCACTCTGGTTGGGTTTTTAGCAATTCAGTATAGATAGCGACAGTATATTCAGCTTCCTTCCACTGAACTGCAGCCCTTCCATTTCGTTAGCCTCCAATAGAAGCTCAGCAGTAGCAGACAGCTTCCCTCCTAATTCAATTTCCAAAGTTTTCATGGTCAGGTAGTCTTGGATTACACCTGTGAGCATGGACTTTGTTTAGCATGAAATTATGCTGATTTTTTGCCCTGGCTTGTTTTGTGCATCCTGCCTTCACATATAGGAAACGTTAAACTTTGCATTAATTCCTGATTCTTATAATGGTGCCAGACGAACGGAGAGTCTTTGTCAAAATATGCAGAGATGAGAGCTGTAGGTTTTGGAATGTATTTGTAAACCTTACGAAGCGTATGCTTTCAGCAACAAGGCATCTTTCTTTAAATAGCGGTGTTCTTGGTATGGTAAGAGTGTTTTTATTTCCCCCTCCTGCACTAACAGATTCTGCAGCTCTGACAAGCTGTATAATGGGCTGCCTTAATCTGTACGTAACTGGGAGTGAGAGGAGGATGTGAGAGAAAATCTGTCTATGGCCACTGTTAACATACAGCCTCCAGTTGGACACTGACACCATTTCCCTTCCCTCTGCATTTGATTGATTGATTTTTTTTCTTAACTACTTAGGTCTTGACTTGTCAAGATTCTTAGCGCACAACTGAGTTTGAAGCTAGTGAGTAGGAGCTGCAGATGTTCAGTTACCAGAACCCATCCTTCAAATAAATGTTCTGTATTGGCTTAGTCGTGGTAGATCCCAGTTTGTTTTCTAATGCACTGAGATGAGTGTTACAGCCCCAATCTGGCATTACAGACTGGGGCTCAGTAGTTAGACGGCTGGAATAATATGTTATGTCTCTTGACTGTGTGTTCAAACTCCTTTAAAATATTGATGTCAATAAAAATATTAAATAACATCAGTAATTTCTAGCCATTTGTCATGGGTGATCAAAACTAACAGAGTCTGTCCAGATCCCACTAGATTCAATGGAAAAACACTACTTCTGGGTTAAATATGTATTGAGCTGATGCCAGAAATAACAGAGGTAAGGCGTCTTCTGTCATAATTCATAACCTAAGGAAGGTAAGGCTAATTGATGCTATGGGCCACTGCAGGCATGTTTCTTCATTCTGTTTTTTAATTGATTCAGTAAGCCTCTTACAACTATTTTTTTTTTTTTCAAAGAAAGCAAACTATTTGAGAAAACAGTACTTTGGCAGGTCAGCTGGGTGTTTCCTTCCAGGATAGGCACAGGCTGAATAGGAATGTACCTTTTCATGCCATATGTATTTTTAGTTCTATGTCTGGCTTCTAACACGTGTAGGAACCGCAGAGTGGAGTTGTTGCCTTTGCAAATAGATGATGCAGATTGCTCAAACTGATAACGTTTGGAGGTTCCCAAATCTAAGCTTTGGGTATGTGTGGTTTTACATTTACTAAAGCAATACTGGAAAAACCTGGTAGCTTCAGGGATTTTTATTTTTTTTTTTTTTAACCATTTTTAAAACAATCACAGGTGGAAAACAGACTTTAAGGAATGGGGTTGGAAGTTCCTTGCTCAGAGGTTAGGAAATATCAGATTAAATAGTCTGAAAGGGTTTAATGAACTTTCTTGTGTAGATGCCCAGTCTGCTGTTATGCCATCACATGCCATTTTTCTTCAGAACGTCTTCTTCATCCACTGTCCTTGCGTGCCTGACTTGAATCATGGATTCATAGAATGGCCTGGGTTGCAAAGGAGCACAACGCTCATCAGTTCCAACCCCCTGCTGTGTGCAGGTCGCCAACCAGCAGCCCAGGCTGCCCAGAGCCACATCCAGCCTGGCCTTGAATACCTCCAGGGATGGGGCATCCACAGCCTCCTTGGGCAACCTGTGAACAGTGCATCACCACTCTGTGTGAAAAACTTCCTCCTCATATCCAACCTAAACCTCCCTTGTCTCAGTTTAAAACCATTCCCCCTTGTCCTATCACTATCCACCCTTGTAAACAGCCATTGCTCCTCCTGTTTATGTGCTCCCTTCAATGATGCTGTCATGGTAAGCTGGTCAATATTTTGTGTTCTGTTGGCGATTTCTAAATGCCTTTTGCCAGAAAGTGTTTACAATAGTAAAAGCAAAGCGTGCTGTTGAAGTTCTAAACCTAAGACTCAGCATTTCCCAACATTACCTATGATCAGCCTGAGGTGATAAACTACATGTAAAAATACACATCACTGTCACCCTGATGGCTTCCTCTCAGACAGAAGTCTCTTGTGTTGACTAGAGTTAGGTGATCATTTTGAAAACAGAGGTAACAATCAAAGAAAAAGAGACCGAGAGAAGATCTCAGATGTGCAGCAGAGGCACGTGGTGGTGCTGCTGATGAGGACGTGGACATGTTGCTCAGTCCCTTTGGTAATTGCTGCTCCAGTTACTTCAAGAAAACCCTGCATTTGCCAATGGTTTTATGTTTTTTTTTAAATCAGACCGTTCTTTTGATTTTCTTAATTACCATGGTACACAGCTCATAGTATTTTGCCTTCATTTATGTAGATTGAAATCTCTTTTTCCCCATCTGGGACACTCGTATCAACTGTAATCCATTTGTGATTAAAACCCTTCAGGCTTTTTGCAGTGACTGGTGTACATGCATCAAACATGAAGCTTATGATGGCAGTGCTGTGCTTCGGCAGCAGCGGAGTGGCTGTAGATACAAGCTTACATCATTAAATAAGGTGTAGTGGGAGTGAAAGAGAGTAATGCTGCCAGTGTTGTCTTGATCAGAGCTCTAGCTTTAGGGCATTCAGCTTCTTTCTGTTCAACATACACCATGTGTGCTCGGCCCCCCCCCCCCCGCACCCCCCCCCCCCCCCCCCCCCCCCCAAATCAGTGATGAGAGATGTACTATCTACAGTGTTGTCAAAACACGAGTGCGCTTTGTTCTCCCACGGCCTCTATTTCCTGCTCCTGCCATGGGAAGGCTGCATGGCATGGCATGCGCCCTGCCAACCTGGCACAGCGAGAGCCTTGTGCTTGGCTGGTGTGGCAAGCTCCTGGAGGAGCTCCATAGCCACAGCAGCTTTGTTGGTTGTGTTTGTCTGAGGGCTGGGTTGTCTGATACCTGCTAAATAAATTGCCTCATGTTTATCCACAGCGATGGTAAAGGAAAAAGTGTGGCTCGTGGCCCTGAAGTGGGCCATCTATTTGTGAGCACTGGTAGTGTCACAGCTGAAGCTCTGCAGCAGGATGTTCACCTATTTGTTTCAGGGGGAAAGAAAAAAAAACAAAAAACCTCAAACCAGAACAATGCAAAGGGAAAGCACCAGCAAGAGAACAGTATGTTCTTTGTAATGCTTTTTCTTTGGGGACATCTATTGCTGGCAATAAGATTAAATCACTGAAACCTTCCCTGAAGCTACATCTGCCACTGCCTACATTTTCCAACCTCAGTAATAAACTAACATTTGCCATTGTTCGTTTCTTCTGGATTTCATTTCTTACAGATTTAACCAGCGCTATTTACCACAAGGCATTCGGCTCTTGCTTAAAGCGGAGACCTATGCCAAGTCCCTAAAAACATTCAGCTCTCCAAAGAATCTGGTTTTAAATTATATCATAAAAAGTAGACGATATTAATGCAGCGGTTCACACCGAGTTCATGTATTGCTCGATGCCAATGTATAAAACTGATAGGAGCCACAGAAGCCTAAAAAGCTGTAGCTGAGGCTAGCCTGCAGTGGTGAACAAAACCCTTTGTGCCTTTTTATGAGCTGTCTGTACATTCTGAGCGCGGTGGTATTTTTCTTACTGGGGACGATGGCAGCTATCTCTGTATGGTGGTAGCACTCTTTCTCCCGACATGGTGTGTGTGGGGTTGTGGCACACGTGGGGTTGTGGGGATTGCTCAGCAGCCCTTTGTCCCCACAGGATGCCATCGTGATCCATGAAGTTTATGAAGAAGGGGCGGCAGCCAGGGATGGCAGGCTGTGGGCCGGAGACCAGATCCTTGAGGTGAGCACGTCTCTGTATGCATGTCTGTCTCATTAGATTTGCACTCGGTTTGGCATAGCTTTGTCATGGAGAAAGCAGGTATCGTTTGTAGGACTGGTACACAAAGCTCTTCTTCCATCGCTGAGAACACCCTGATGCATTCGTATTTCCTTATGGATGCATATGAACTGGAGGTACCAACTGAGAATACGTTAGATGTAATTGAACAAGGTGGCTCTCAAAGAACGTGGATCAGCTGCCACGTCCGATTGCTTGGCACTGCTCAGCCTTCTGCCATCACACCGAGGCCTGGCTGCGGCTCCCACGCAGGCACCACGATGCCGAGCACAGCTCTGCCTTCAGCCAGCAGGCTGAGCTGGAAGGGGTTAAGAACGAGGGGCTGCTCTGCACATGAAGCTTGCGTCAGGCAGCAGTCGGCGCAGCTGCTTACAGTGTCTCGCTGTCAGCTCAGGACAAATTCCCAGCATGGCCATTAAGGCGGTGGTGCGTAGGGTTAGAAAAATAGCGAGGGGTACTTGGGGAGCTGTCTTTACAGCTCTTGCACTGCAAATATTTTTTTTAGCGTTCGGGCTGAATGTTGTTTTCATTTTATAAATAACTGCGCATTAGCAGAGCACGATAATTAGGCAGGGGATAAAAATGGGGAAGGTTAATTAATTCTTCACTGGCCAAACAGGAAAGTGCTAATGTTTGTGCGCCATAATATTGTTATTATTTCAGCTTTTAAAAGCTGTACTAATGAAGCAGAAGGATGACTGAATTAGTTTCAGATTAGTGTGTAAAGCACACGTAGATGCCTGTGTCAAGAAAATAATACTGATGTGTACAGAGTTAGTACAAAAGAATATAATGACGACAGACTCGGTTTAATTAAGTTGAAATTAAGTTAAAATGGTTATAGCTTGGCATACTTGGAGGAACAGAGAAATATTTTCCTTGCCTTAAAATCTATTAGGTTGTGTAAATGTGTTGAGACTGCATTGTTAAAACAGCTGCAGCCCATGCTAATTCCTACAACATCCAAACGTTGGTAGGAGTTGTACGAGATGAGGTTTAGTGGGGACATATTGGTGGTGGGTGGATGGTTGGACTGGATGATCTTGGAGCTCCATTCCGACCTCGGGGATGCTATGATTCTGTGGTTCCTAACCAGACTTGGAAAATGAAATGGATATTTCTTTGGTATTGACAGAGAAAAGTTGGTTTTGTCAACAGAAAAAACAAACACTTTAAAGGGTATCCTAGTATGAGGCTTGGCAAAGTTAGGAGGTTAGATTTCAAGTTGCAATAGTTTTTTTTCTGGTACTTTAGCATTCAGTCAGAACTTCTTGTCGACATGGTAATACTAAAACATTGTAAGAGAAATGTACCTTAGTGCTCCAAGAGTGGTCTTGTGTGCCATCTATTGGAACAAAGCAAAATAACCATTCAGTGTGTCCTGCCTGGGCTTCACCATGGCCATTGCTAATGACACTGGTTCCTTGTGCCCTTAAGCTGTACGGTGTCACCCAGCCTGGGGCAAGGAACTTCAGCACTGCTGCCTGGAAGGGAAGGAAGGCTGCAGAACTACAGGAAGAGTGAAGGGAGCACATCCTACTTCATCTGCTTGTAAAATTGTAAGCACTGGTTGTAAAGTTGAGGCTCCAGCACTTAGAAAGCAGGATGGAACCCCCGCAAAGCTTAGGATCCAAAATATTTTGATTCTTTGAATTTAATCAGTGGCACAATGCGCACCATCTCATTCAGTAGGAAATCAGAGCGCTTAATTAGAGTGCCAAGAGGTGTCGGTTTGACAAATTCTGCCTGTCACACCAGGGTAGGATGTGATGAAAGGATCGTTGGTACGTGTCGTTTGGAAAGAAAACGCTGATTGTTTCAGGTGAACGGGATCGATCTGCGGAGCGCCAGCCATGAGGAAGCCATCACTGCGCTGAGACAGACACCTCAGAAGGTGCAGTTGGTTGTTTATAGAGATGAAGCTCATTACAAAGATGAGGAAAACTTAGAGATCTTCCATGTAGATATTCAGAAGAAAACAGGCCGAGGACTGGGGCTCAGCATAGCTGGAAAACGGTAAGAGTGTCTCTAATCAGAATGCACTGCAAACAAGAAGTACCTTGCTTTTTGCTGTTTGAACAGCTGTAGCCATTAAGTGGAATATGAAATAAAGGAAGAAGTCCTCAAGCAGGAAGATTTCATCCTTGAAGGTTCCTTCGAGGATGTTGTGGGGTTGTGGTACTGGCTCCTCCATTACAGCCAAAGCAGAGCTATGTAACAAAGGCTGCTGTTCCCTCTGGAAGACTCCCAGTTTGCAGCATCGTGTCCTACTCTGTGAATGAGCGAGGCTCAGTGAACACATGCAGAACTGGTAGCTTAATGTTATGATGGCTTAAACATAGCTGTGGCTGAGCCTGAGAGCCCTAACCATGGCAGTTCTGATTTCAACATAGGGGAAAAAAAACTCCTTGTTTCCAAATACTGGGACATGCCTTTGAAAATGAATTTATTAGTTAGATCTTTATCATACTCTGTTTCAAAGTGACCGGTTTTGGTGGAAGATAGGAGCCTGGTAAAGAGAAAGACCCCCATCCCTGTCAGCTGTGTGAGTGACTATACAGCACTAGAGGCAGTGGTGCTGTGAATAAAGAGCAGAATCCGAGATACTGTGGAGGGTAACAGCTGCTTAATAAAATGTGACTTTCTGCTGATGTATTTCTAAACCATTGCTATTAGATCATTCGAGCTAGAGCACTGATAGATTTAATCTTTCATTGCTAGAAGAGATTTACAGCATGACACAGGCAAGCACTCATTCAGTGCTAGTGTGTGCGAATCATATGGTTCCTCTTCTGTACTGCCAAAAAAAATGGTATTTTCTCAAGTACAGATCATGGTGTTATTGTGCTGACTGCGAATGGTCAGTAAAGTTTCTGCTGCAGTTTGGGGTTTTTGTTTGCTTTTTTTTTTTTTTCCCAAGACTGGTGATGCTTAACCCAGGTGTTGAGAGCAGATTGTGGGTTGGGTAATTAATTTAGCTTATGTAAATTACCCTACAGATGGTAATCGCAATCTCCAGCTCTCCCTTGATTGCTTCTGCACAAAACTTTCAGTTACTAACAAGTTCTTGGCATGTAGGGGTTTCCACCTTAGAGGTAACCTAATTTCCTTAGTCCATCCAGCAAGAGCCAGCTATCAGCCAGCAAAGCATTGTGTCCTGCTGCACTCAGGATGCCAAACGCCAGCCCCGTGCCTTGCAGCCTGCACCAGCTCATCCACAGCGAACCCTGGTAGCTGGGGCTGGGCACAGAGGGGTCCTGCAGTGTGGGGAAGGGAGTCGTGATGTGGGGCTGCAGCTCGTAAATCTGCTCTGCCCCCCAGCCGTGCTCACAAGCCTCGCTGCAGGCAGACAGCCGTGGGGTTGGATTTTCTGCTGCATAACTTGTGTGCAAACTATAAAAGTCTTTTCTGCAGGCTTCTCTGTTTGGGGCCTCTAAGCTTTTAGAGAAGAAACCAAGCTGAACCTTTAGGGGGAATATAAAAATATATACATTTCTAAGGCTGCATAACTCAGATCAGGCACATCAGGGGACGGTTTAACTCCATCTTAGACTGATCCTTGGCTTTTTATTTATACAAGTGCTATTTTTCATGAATCTTTATGGATCGGACAGTCAGAACTAACAGATCAAGGAGAAAGACAGCATTAAATGTAGCAAAACATGCATTGATTTTAAAGCTCATAGATTTTCTTACACTCAAATGGTTGAATGGGGTGTAAAAGTCATTCTTCCTCTGCTCACAGGTTTCTTTTTATGTGTCTTATATGCAAGTAATCTAAATTGTTCTCCCAAAGAATATTGGATTGTGTAATTAGCCATATGCTTCTTGCATTGTTAGAAATGGAAGTGGAGTGTTTATCTCTGACATTGTTAAAGGAGGAGCTGCAGACCTAGATGGAAGATTAATTCAAGGAGATCAGATTTTGTCAGTTAATGGAGAGGATATGAGAAATGCCTCACAAGAGACTGTTGCCACTATACTTAAGGTGAGTACATAATACATTTTAAGAGATGGAATTGCAGTTACTGACGCCGTGCAAGGTAATTATCCTGAAGTGCTATTTACGCATACCCAGGACAGCTCAGACTGATTACAAAGACAGGAATTTCATCTGGAATTACTGTGCAAGGTCCATTCAGCATCACTTCTTCTAGTATATTTAGAAGTGAAATGATATGAAATGAGAAAACAAAGAGACGTCGCATTTAGGCGTTGATTTGAAAATGCAACTGTGAACTTCATATGCTAGAAAAATATTTTGAAACCTGAGAGGCATACAGATCAGAGCTGCCCTGAAATAAAATGCCTTTGGCTTCACTGTACTAGCTTGCAACTATAAAACTGCAGTTTAAATCCACCATAGCTTCTTTACGCGCTGGGTTGGTTTTATACTTTATATGGCCAGGGAGAAACTTCTTTTCTCTATTGAAAAGCATGTGGCTGCTTGATGGGCTTAACTGGGAGGAGAGGGCACAGGATGCCCTGCCCACGGGCACCTGTTGGCAGCTCCTCCATCAGGCTCCCAAGGCTGTCAGCATGTACCAAGGGTGGGAGCAAGCAGAAACATTCATACTGACTTCAGCATTGAGGATAAACTGCACTCTGGAAGTGGGTACTTCTGATATACTCCAAATGAAAATGTGAACATTTCAAGCGTTCAGTGCATTGTGGTTTTCTTCAAGGGTCTGTGATGTTGAATGTGAACATAGTTCTCTCCAGGAGAGCAGGAAATATCCTATGTCAATTTAAATGCTGTACGTTGTGGTTCTTTTTCCCAAGTGTGCCCAAGGCCTGGTGCATCTCGAGCTGGGGAGACTGCGAGCTGGATCGTGGCTGTCATCACGGAAAACACCCCAAAACAGTCAGGTTAGTTACAAATTCATATGTATGAAGTGAAGCTGTGAAGGGCAAGGAAGGGGAGCGGTGTGCAAGGGCTGTCCAGGAGGGTCTGTCCTTCCATAGACATTGACTGCTAAGGGTGTGGAACAAAACAATTTATAACTCAGCTGAAAAGAAAGTGTCATGCTGTAACGCTGAGTAAGTGGAATAATCGGTTAATGATTCTTTTGTTTGTTAGAGGAGGGTTTTTTTCTGAGACGATGTACCAAAAATTTGTAATATTTTCCTCAAACAATGATGCCCAGGAATTTTTTAGGCTTGCAGAAAATGCTGAATGCCTCTTCTGCAGCTGTTTTGTCAATCAAAATGAGTTAATGAAACTGAACTGTATCTTTGCCTATCTTGTGGCAGAACCACATGAGAGCTGCTTTGCTCTCAAAGAAAACACAGAGCAATTTCCTGCTTCACTTGCTTTTTACCTGAAGCGAGGACAACAATTCATTTTTCAATCAGTGCAGGGCTTTCCCCCTCTCCTCACTTCCCCTAATCCGCTCAGACATTGATACTATTAGTATTAAAGTCTACAGCCAGGGAAAGATGACTTGGAAAACTTTTTAAAATGGATTCTCCTGCTGAAGACCAGCTGCTTTGCCACCATATTGTAGTTGGGAGCATCCCAGAGACAGGCAAGCCATGGCTCACAGGGGTGTAATTCTGTGGAGTATTTGGCCCCTGTCTCTATGGGGGGCATTCCTGGTGGCCTCCTTCTGCTCAGCACACTGCTGGGATCCAGCCCAGCCTCCCCAAATGCTAAAAGAATGGCATGGAAACAGCAAGAAGAAGCAGTAGGAGGCTTAGGGATGTAAGTTAAAGCAGGAATGACTTCAAGGAAAAAATAATCCTAGTGATTAAGTCAGTAAGAGTGGAGCCCTTCCTTGTTTTCATCCATGAACAGCCCAAAAATGTGCCAGATCCTGGTCACGTGGCATGATTTCTTCACTTTATAAAAGCCAGCAGTGATCCAGTTTGCTGCCTGTGTGAGTTAGTGTCAGGAAGGGCTGGGGAGCTCACAGCCATGTGTGCTAAGCCCAGCTTTAAAACTGTGCCTAAATACCGCTAGAGAATATCAGCACTGCATGTAGCAGTCAAGGAAAGATGGAACAACAAAGGGAAATGAGAGTGACTGCAGTAAGTAAAGGCAGGAGTCATGGTTATTCCTTGGTTTAGTTGTTGTGCAGGCAGCAAGGTGATGGTTAAAGTTACTACGTGTTGCTATGTAACGCTCAGAACTGAAGCAATGCTGTCCCATTTCTTTTGTACCACACCACACCTGTTAATTTCTGTATTTCTTCATCTTAAGAGAAGTCTTGATTGCTGTTCAAGCAGAGTCGTTTGAGGGCCTCCATCTCAGTGTTCCAAAGTGACTGGGGACTTGGAAAACCGAGTGGATGTTTCTCAGCAAAATAGTTCCAAGAGTTATAAAACTCCTGGCAGATAATATGGCGAATCAGCATGAATGATTTGCACAACTGTGAGCAATGCTTCAGAGCCCTCTGGGCAAGAGCATCCCGAACTTTTGTCCTCACTTGGCTTTTTTTTCTGGTCTGTTGCATACCTTTAACAGCAGAAACATAAGGCTTGTGGTGCAGGACAGTGATTTCTTTCACGTGCTTTGCAAATTGTGTTAACTGACCCGTGAATCGGGAACGAGACGTGGAAATTGTGCTCTGCCTGTTGTTTGTCACTGACAGCTGCACGCTGGTCAGTTGGGATGAATGCTGCCAGGGCTTTTGATTCGCCGCCTAATGCATTTAAAGGGAGAGCTCAGGTCTTTGTTTTGTGTCTGGCCTTGGTGAAATCTGTTGTTCAGACGCATTTCCTAAATTGATAATGATGTTTCCTCTGAAGGGCAGTCTGAAGATAAGGCCAGATAAGGAAAAATCGTGCTGGAAATGAATGGCACAGAACTGAGAACATGCACAAGCAGCTGCCCGCCAGGTTGTGCCTCCTGTTGTTAGCTGTAAGGCACGGGCATCTTGTCTTGCACCTGGGCTGCTTTTCTGGAAGTATCGCCATCAAATGAAAGGAGCAGGGCTAGTTCCAGGGCCTTGTAATCACACAAAATGTGCAGCTACACCAGCAAAGCCTGTAGGTGACTGCATGGGAATTATCCCCACTGCCTGAGAGGAGCTGTCAGGTCTCCTGCTGGGTGCCTCGCATACATTCAGCTTACAATGAAGTATCTGTGGGTCTGTCATGACAAAGATGCCCACAGCGTTCATCCTCAAGTTTGGAGGCCGGCTGGCAATAAGCAATGGAGGAGGTTCATCCTGTTCTTTCATGGCCTCCGCAGCAATCCGCAGGATGGTTGAGGGTGGAAGAGACTCTGCAGGTCGTCTGGTCCAACCCAGAAAGCCTCCCAAAACCAGACCCAAACAATGTACAGATCAGGTGTATATGCTGAAGTGAAATCCAGTCCTGTAGTACTATGAGCAGCTCTGCACGCATGCCTACAACACAGGGGCAGATTTGGTAGGTTCCATCTCTGGAAATGAAGTTGGCGGCTTTCACTCGAGTGGCCAGTGTGGTATTTCCAGTCTGGTTGCACAGAACACAGCTGCAGCCATATGTTGCAGGGGCTGGCTGGTAGTTAATGTTTGGGTTTGACTCTCAATTTCTGATTTATGTTCAATTTCAGGTGAACCAACAGAGTGCCCACAGCCACTTCCACCCCGCACTCGCTCCGGTCCTCTCCACGTTGCAGAACTTTGTCAGCACAAAAAGATCTTCAGCAGACGTGTCTCAAAGAAACTCAGGTATGATCTGGATGGATTCGTTCCTTGCTGCTTGCACCGCTCCTTTATTTTTGTGCTTGTTTAATAACAACATTAAATACTTGAGACTGATTTTCCTGTGCAACCTCCCCAAAGACATACCACCGATGTTTTAAGACCTGTAACACTTTCCAGCACATGACATTATTTTTACGCTTAGTAGAAGAGTAATGGCTCCTCTATTTTAAATGCAGAATTCCTGTGCCCTGCTATTCCCCCGCGCCCTTGTTGGAGGCTTAGCACAGGCAAGGTTCTTGTATTAGAACAAGTTTGCTCGGGGAATAAAGCTGCCACCACTTCATTTATATCTGTGTTGCTCTTCAGTGTATAAAAGGGTGTTTTGTAATGAGAAAGTCACCATGCCCAGATTGCAATTCACACATTTAGCGAGTGCTGAATCTGCAACCTGCAGTAACTTGACGGGGAGCTGTGCATTTGTGTGCTCTGACCCACATCAGAGACCCATAACAGCCCATGCTTGTGCCTGACCGTGGGCAGAAGAGTTTCTTCTGGCCATTCACAGGTGTGTGTGGCTTTTTGGGCAGCCATCCTTACAGATTTTGGAAGGGCCCATGCGTGCATGCCCTGATGCAGCATTCCTGGGGCTGGGCTCCTTGCAGTGCCAGCCCTTGTGCTCTCATCTTGTGTGCTCATGGCAGGTATCAGCACAAGCACAGTGTGTGCAGCGGTAGGAAATGCCGCTGTATGTTAATGGCAATCGTTAACTTCTGAAAGAGGCTAATGCTGCCTGCCTTGTAAAAGGTTCCTAAGGTAGTTTAATTAAAGCTGGTACAATTAGGGATTATTATAGCAGAGCCCAGGACTACACCGTAAGCTTTTAGGCTATTTAGTCCCAGTTCAAATGATTCCTTTCAGTGGTTTGGTTTTTTTTTTTCTCTTTTTTTTTTTTTTTTCCTGAATGTTTTGAGTACTTCTAAATGTCCTGTGGCTAGATATATGCCAGCCAGACTTCCTGGCTGTCTATTATTTACTAATACAGCACAAATTAGAACAGGAAATCAATGGAACCTCCACAGTCTGCGCGTCCTACCCTTTGTGGTGGAGACACTGTGATTTATGAATAATAAGGCAATCTTTAATTGAGTGAAATGCACAATAGGGCTTTTCTTTGGGCCGGCAGAGTGGTGCTGTTCAATAGATTGTGGTGAGCGGCGGCTGTGCTACAAAGAGCATCACAGCAGCATCCGTCAGGCGCTGTGATTGCATCCGTATTCAGCTCTGAGTGAAACAGAAACCCCGTCCTTCTCACGTGAGCAGCCCTGCCTGATTTGGCACAGGAAGGCTCTGCTTCTGCTTGGTGATAACTCTGACTAGGCAGCAAGGGACCATTGTCACTTGACAGCGTTATCTCTTAATTATATTATCTCTTAATTACAGGAGCTAATTGTTTGTTTCTTTATTAGTAGGAGCAGATACGGGCCCAAGGACTGTGGAGATAACAAGGGTCAGTGAGTTATTTTCTACCAATTCAAAAAGCTGACACCTTAGACTGAAGTTGTCAGTTTTTATAGTGTTCCTTAGAAGTAAAATTGTGTTATTTATGTTTGCGATAGGCTCTTGAATGTGTGCCTGTGTGTGTGAGGGGCTGTGTGTGTGTGTGTCAGACCTATCTATTGTTTGCACCATGACACATAAGTCAAATGGATTAGTTATTCCTGTACCCTAAACATTGGCCTCTCCTAGTGGCTCCAATCAAAAATGCTTTTTTGCTTTGTTTTAGGGACCAAACGATGCTCTTGGTATCAGCATAGCAGGAGGAAAGGGGAGTCCATTAGGAGATATTCCCATCTTCATTGCTATGATTCAGGCTAGTGGTGTGGCAGCACGGACCCAAAGACTCAGAGTAAGTAGAAGTGCCCTCTCAGTGCCTTCTTTTCCATCTGCTGTGCATGTCTCTCTCAGAGAAGGAGCCTCAGGCACTTCTGTATATGCCATCTCTTGGATAATGTCTCATAGACTACCCTGTTTCTTCTTTAAAACAAACTAACAAGCCCTGCACACATCTTTCCCTTTTGATTATATTGCAACTTGGGACAATTGCAGTGGTTGCCTACGTGGAAGAGAAACGTTAAGGAAGAGAACACTTATAAGTAGTCTTTGAGTGTGATTGAGCAAAAGAAATAAACTGGAAGATCTGCAGTGGGTGTGCATCCAGCTCAGAGAAAGCAGCAAGCTGTCTAGAAACCACAGGCATTCTGGAGACTGCAGACTGGGCCTCGCTTAGAGCTCAGGCAAGGCAGAAACCAGACCAGAGGTTGCTTGTTTGATGCCAAGGACCTTATAAGGAATTGCAAAAATAAAATGGTTGCATCAGATTCATAGCACATGTGAATTTCTAGGGATGACCACAGTGATCGTTTATCAGTTTGGGAGTTTCAGGAAATAAGGAGTACTGAAAAGAATTTATTGTGCAGTTGCACAGGAAAACTTTGGCCCATGAGATTCACTACGTAACCACCTCTACGTTCATGCTCTGTCTCTAATAGAAACACACAGTAGCACTAAGTGTCAGTGTCAGGATCAGCTTTATACATAAAGAGAAGAAATAATGTTGGTTAATTAGGTTAATACCAGAAGTGTCTGCTTTCATCTTGTGCTCACACAATCTATGAGAATATGAACTTGTCTGCACGTATCGACACAAATGAATCCTTTTTGGATGGGAGAGAAGCAGTCCATCTTACCCTCTCTGTTTGCAAATGGAAATAGTAAGATACAGCCCACCTTTTTTTCTCTGATCACATTGTTATTAAAAAAAAAAAATCTGCATTATGCTACCTCTGACAAATGGTAAATGATCACTAGCAGCATAGAATTCTCACAGAAGCAATCCTGCAAAAGAGAAGCACGACTGTGCAGTGCCAAGTTCATCAGGAATTTTAAGCATTCTTAATTTTAATTTTCCTTAATGCTAGTAATTTTCCATTACTGTTGTACTTCTAGGTTGGAGATCGGATTGTCAGTCTTAATGGGCAACCTTTGGATGGGCTGTCGCATGCAGATGCTGTTAATCTACTAAAGAATGCTTATGGGAGCATTATCCTGCAGGTATGGTGATAAATGGAACATGCAGCTGCATGAGGGTAGATAAATGGCATTTGGGGAAAAAAAAAACCCTGAGCATCATTGGCACAAGGCATCACAGAATTGCAGGGTGCTTGCTGATGGGAATTACACAGAATGAAAGCAAGAAATAATTTTCATTCAAAAAATTCTCTATTGCCACTTGTACAGGCTGTGAGCACGATTATATAAAAGCGTAACAAAGAGAACAAAATAACTTGTTGCTACACCTGATAAATCAACAAGCTTCCAAGTTTGTTTTTAATTTGAAGTTAGCTAAGAACAAGAAACTGTGTCTGTTCTGTGTGCATGCATGCTACTGGACTGTGACCAAACTGTGTTGTTGGTTTTCTTGTTCTTGAAAGGGAGAGAAGAAAGGATGCTAATAGCAATTAGCAAAAATGATAGCATCGTCATTAACACAGTGCCATCTAAAATTGATTATCTGCAATTCTAGATGTATATTCTGTATATAGTCTACAGTAACACTTGAGAGAGAAGAAAGGGTTTATCACTGCTGCACATATATGCTAGCTAAAAGGAAGCCGTGTTCTGCCACTTGGGTTCTGATTGCTGCTTGCCAGCGTGTTCATCTTGAGTTTATTTTTATGTTTACACAAAGAAATTGGAAAAATACATGCCAGAGAGAATTCAAAATGCCACCCGTTTGCAAAATTATTGTAACAATTGGAAAACAAGCTTAAGAGTAGAATCTACTGTAATTTTCTTTATCATCGCAGCATATTGGGTTTGAACACATCTTGAGAGATTTTCACAGGCTTCTTGCTTTCATTACAACATAAATGTGGCTATAAAAAAAAAATTAAAAAATGTGAGAGGAAAAGAAAACAAAGAAAGAAAAATGGAACGATAATAAACTTAGACTGCTTATTCTTTGTCTGCCCGTGAACTGCTGACCTGGTAAGTGATGAGCCAGTTCCAGAGCAGATGGTGTATTTGTGTAGTTCCATTGAAGTCAAAGGAGCTACACAGAGACACACCAGCTGAGGATTTTCTGTTAAATTATAGTTATCATATTGTTACTAACATTGAGTAATTTCACTTTTCATGTCAACAGTATTCCCTGAATAGAAAATGAAAGCTTGCTGCGGAACCCAAAATTGCTAATCTTGAAAGCTGTAATACAGCGAATTCCACCTCATCATGTATTTAAAATTATTCCTGATGAAGCACGCTGTCAGTTGTTGCTCGCACAAACAAAGAGGTTGTTCTGGAAATGTCTTGGCTTTTGTCAGCTGATGGTTTTTCTTCCACATTTTTGCCATCTAGCTCAAAATGTGTTGAGTACTTTTACAGATGATACCGTTCTTTCCTCTGATAGAATGGGGTCTGTTTTCCTCTGCTAAAAATCAGTGATGGGAGGCTGTATTTTAACAGCAGCAGTGGAGCAGTGCTGCAGCCACGCTGTAAGTAGGATGCTATGTCTGCAGCGTGTGCCAACTGCAGGTACTTCTCAATTGCTGGGCTGCTTTTTGATGAAAACAATCTAAATGGAATAATCCTATCAATGCGATAATCGTGACTGATGTGTCATTAAGTAATTCTGTTTATTATCAGGTTAGACCACTTCATGGCAAACTGCTTTGAAAGGTCAGATAATTGCGTTCAGTGGTGTGGAAAGGCTTATTATGGGTACGTCCTGGGAAGGATGGTAAAGGAGTTTGCAAATGCTGTTTGCAAATGGGAGATTAGGGTCTCAGGGGAACAATCATCCCTTCCGGCTGTTTTGATGCTTTGGTTTAATTTAATTTCTTTTCGACAGGTGTAGTAATGAGATAAGGGGAAGCTTTTTTACAAGGTTGTTGAACTCTGATGCGTTCTTACTGCCGACTGAAGATTTTTTGAATATAGATTTATTTTACCCTATTTTATTCAACAACAAAATACGACAAGTACTGGCTGGCACTCTTTCCCCTGCTGCGTTGGGAAGGGAAGCTTCAGTGCCTCTGCTGCCTGAGCCAGGTGCAGCCATCTCCTCCATGGGACCCCATCACTGAACCTGAGACCTGGGATGTGAAATTTGCACGAGTGTTAAGCTTTATTCCTAGAAAATGCTACCAGCCTCTCTTGGCTCCAAGTGATTAGAAAGGGGGATACAGTACTGGGGAAGAATTGTGAGCGTTCATTTAGAACGGGGGATTTATATAATGCATTTTTTTGTTGTTGCTGTTTAAGAAAGGTATGTTTCCCTTCAGCTGTGATCCCGGCAAGGAATGGGAAAAGCACATGTTAATTTTGATAAAGTAAGGCCTCAGGTAGCTGGAGGACGCACTGAAAAGGAACTTAGTGGGTATTTGTCACTGTCAGTGAGCCAAGCCCCTGTACAATAGGCATCAAGCAGAGATGAGTATCAAGTATGTCATCAGATGGAGATGGAGGTATGGGAGAACCACTGCAGGCAGTCCTTAGGAAATTATCCTTCTAGCTGTGGACACTTAAAATCCTGAATGCTTCTAGTTGGTTTCCTCAAATGTTTTCCAGAAAAAAAGATCAAAAAATAGAAAATCAACTTACAATGAAAGATTAGGAAAAAGAAAAAAAAAAAGATCTAGAGTGGGTCTTTTCCCTGTCTTTCATGAGACCCATTGGGCCTGCATCCTGCATCCCATCATCCGTGGGACTGAGCTCAATGAACAGCAAAACCCAGCCCTCAGTGCTCTCAGTACATCTGCAGCTGGCTTTGTATCCCCCTGCTCAGCACCTGAGTGCTGGTCCTGTAAACGCAACAGAAAGCTCCAGAGCAAAGTCAGTGTTTGACCCCCAGATAGATGGGTTAGTAATTAGTAATTTTTAACACCATTACTTGAAAGCATTGAAGGAAATATAAGAGCATAGGACTTGTTTGAAATTTGATATTAGCTGTTTTCTGTGTAATTATTGAAGTGTTTCAGCATTAAGTGCCATGCAGAGTACTTCATTGCTTTCTCCTGTTTAGGTCGTGGCTGATACCAACATCAGCGCCATTGCTACCCAACTAGAGAGTATGTCTGCTGGATGCAATGTCAACTCTTCTTCTGAGCATGCTTCTGAAGATCCAGAGTAAGTTTGTATTAGCATATGTAACAGATATATTTCTGTGCCCCATGCAAGGGAAAGCCTAGGGTGGTGAAGGAGGCCTCTTCCCATTCCTTTTCTCTCTAATTTACATTGCCTTTAAAATGGTAACTGTGACCTTCTCCAATCTGATCACAGATCTGTCCCTTTTTACCCAGTAACAGATACTGATTGTCTAAATAAGGGTAAAATGTATTTCCAAACACTTGCCTTATCTTATCTTTCCTAACGTGTTATGCTGATACGATAGTTCTGCCCTTGTCTGTTGGCTTCCTCCTTGGTCATCAGCAGACGAAGAGAAGAGATATTAAAAAAAAAACAACCTGGTAACAGACAAATCTTTCAAAACATGTCCAAGAACTTTCTTTGTTTTTTGAACCTTTTTACAATTCTAAAAAGTCTCTTTTTTTTTTTTTTTTCCTATCTGTAGCACCTCTGTATGGTGGCAGACCTTAGAGACATAGCCCTCCCATGGCCGTGCATCATTCTCCATCATATGCTTTTAAGGGCAGCTTACGGCACTCCAGTTGTCATTTAGAAATTCATTTGATCTTCGTATGGTTCCTTAGCTTCATCTTGTCCTTCGTTTTCATTCTTTGATTCATTATATTTATTTTATGATGCTGAGATGCAAGTGGCTGCCCTGTCTCAGGGATGAGCATAGAGGTTGAGCTATTTATGCTGCATTCACTAGTCTTACAGTGTGAGATACTGTTTTTATTGCTGCCCTCAAAGGAGAATTACTTCCTTCCCAAAAGGATATGAATTTCCTTTCATATCAAAATAGTAATGAGATCTGAATTTGAAAATATGAAGTAGACTTAAGTAGGTATATGTGTCCAAAAGAAACTGATAGATATGAGTCACCATGGGCTGTGTCTTAATTTGGTAGAACACGCCAAACAGCTTTAGTCCAGAATATTCTCTCTACATGTATAGAAATGCCTGTTTCAGACTTGAGGTGGATAAATAGAAATGAGCAGTCGAGGTTCCACCAAGACTCTTCCTCCACTCGGCGCAGGCAGCACTGAGTGAGGGGCTCTGGAACAGCTCTGGGGCTGCAAGGTGCAGGGATGTGGGTGGGATGGAGGTTAGAAACAGCCCAAAGAACTTACAACAGAGCTGAGACTGTAAAGACAAGTGCTGCTGGCTGCATGCTGTCTGACAGACTCACTTCAGTGCAGTCACAAAATAAAATTACCCCGTGAGGAAGCTGTTGCAGTGACCACTTACTGGGACGAAGGATGGCAGCTTGGCCTGTAAGAGAGCAAACTCTCCTTTAAGCAACTGCAGATTAGAGGAATGGCACTCCTGCATCAGAGAGGAGTGCTCTTGCTGAGCTCTTTATAAATAAGTATTTTCAAAGGGAGGAGCTGAAGGATGTGGAACAGCTTGTGAGCTCTGGGCTGCTCAGGAGCGTGTTTCAGCAGCAGGACAGGAATCATGCTTAGTGACTGCATGAGATAATCTTGATAGATAAATCTCTCTCTAAGTGTTCCTTCTGCAGAAAATCCCCACAGACAGACCGTGTTATTCTAAGTGATATTTATTGTGTTTTCAGAGCACCTCAGCCTAAGATTATTACTTTGGAGAAAGGCTCTGATGGACTGGGATTTAGTATTGTGGGGGGGTATGGAAGTCCCCATGGAGACCTGCCCATTTATGTCAAGACTATATTTGCCAAGGTATATTTGTGTTTCGTTTTTTTCCTCCCTTTTTCTTTATTATCTTAAAAAAAAGAATAATAAATGTAAGATTTGGCTTGGGTGATATATGTGGAATCTAAAGGAAAATGAACTGCCTAGGTACGTGGATGTGAGCAGACCCAGAACGCACCTCTGGCTTCTTGGTTTATATTTCACAGTACTGATGGCTGAAACAAGACACTTCACCTCAGCAAAATTGTTCTGTGTCCTTTGGAAACTTGCTTTTATACATATAAATATTTATAAAGCAGCTTTATATCTGCAAACCTCACTGTCTTCCCAGAAGTACGGAGGCATCATTTTTCTCACTGTACACGACTGGAGACAGTTGCAGAGATACTGTATCCCTGTGGCCAGGCTTCAGTTGCAAAGCCCTGTGCCCAGATGGTCACCTCAATGAGAAAAGCCACTGGAAGAAAGAAACGCCACCCCATGTGGCTTGTTGATGAATTGGCTTCCACATCAGTCCTGGCTTTAGTTATCCTCCCTCGCTTCCAGCTCCGTGCTCATGCTCTCCGTGGGCACTGCCTTCCCTGTGCTGTTTGCTTGCTGTCCCAGCTGGTCCCTGGCCCTGAGCATCAGGGGAGGGCATGGGTCCCATGCTGAGGAACCAGCACAACACAGCACCTTGCAGCTGGGGCTGCTCTCTGCATTTGCCAGCAAGATCTTTTCGTGGAGTCGTGACTGATGTAGTCCTGAAACGGGGGAGGGAAACAGTGGGGATTAGGGAGACCTAACATAATGCAACTTGGAAATCAGTCGCAGAGAGTTGTTTGTTCTGTAACTGTTTGCATTTCTGACAGGGTAGGTGATAGAAAATGAACAACAAAAAAAATCACCTTGTCTTTAAACAGATGCTAAGATTTACAGATCTGTAGATGTGAGCACAGCTGAGAAACTCCCAAACTAGGATCCACTGATGGGGCCAGGAGGCAGAGGCAGTCATCGTGAGCTGAACTCTGGGCAGGGCCTCTGGATATAGGGAAAAGAGCCATGTTCAGGAGCTCAGGAGGGGAACAGCCACTTCTGGAGCTCCATGGGTGATTCCCAGGGCCTTTAGTTAAACCTAATCCCAGAGCCGGGGGCTCTCTCTGAGCTCTGTCTCCCTTCCCACATTTTAACCAGTTTCTCAGTACTGAGTGCAGAGCCATGTAGGTATTGCTTTAACAAGTCTCTATGTGATCAGAAAACACAGAACCAGTCATTACTCTGCCTTGTTCCCAGGGAATGAGCTGATTCTCCTTTTCCTGGAGATGTGTTGCCTGCCCGTGCTGCCCCAGACCTGCAGAGCTGGCTAAGCAGCAGGGAGCAAGACTTCAAACACTGCAGATTTTGGCCCCGTGTTACTGCTCCCTCCTTTTCCACATCCCCCACCCCGTTACGGTGGGGTTTCCAGTGCTGCATCCCTCCTCATTTCATCCATCAGCATTACAGAGACGGGAGGGCTCCGTGCTACCAGCCAATAACGTTTCCTTTTGCCATTTGCAGGGAGCAGCTGCGGACGATGGCAGACTGAAGCGCGGCGATCAGATTTTAGCAGTTAATGGGGAAGCTTTGGAAGGTGTTACCCATGAGCAAGCTGTAGCTATTCTGAAGCGCCAGAAAGGAACTGTGACATTATCGGTGTTATCATGAATGTCATTGCACTTGCAGAGATAAATACAATTATTTTAAAACATCAGTAGAGCTATAATAATACAGCTCAGCTCTGAGCTGGGTGTAAAGCAAACTCTGGCCAGAATTAATCAGCGTTCAGCCCGCTGCCAGAACGGGCAGTGTGCGTCTCGAGCTTCGTTTAACCTTCCACACCCATCAGCCTTTCTCCCTGCCCTCCCCTGACTTCTGGTGGCTTTTGAGTTTTCTCTGGACAACTTTAATTAATGGGCTTCAAAGAATAAGATCCATTTCGCCTTATTTGCACGTCAGTTTACCTCCACTAGTCTGAACCCCAGATACATTGGCTGAACCTGGGCTCTGTTCAAATACAAAGGAGAATTTAGATCATCAGCCAATCTCATCTGATGAGCAGAAATAAATGCTGAGTGACTTGTCATCTCACTCATGATTTACTTATGCTAATTGTCCTTTCAAGTATGCCAGAAAACATTAGCAATGTAATTAAATTACCACTGTTCCAAATGATGAAATATCAAATTCTCCTCTGGGAAATTATTTGTGTTCAGCACAGTAAGTCTGATAGTCAAATGTGAACTTCTCATGTTTATCTCTTTGGGTAAGTCTACGGAAGTTAGTCAGAGGTAATTACTGTGATGTGTCAATTTGCAGCCTTTAGCATGAAAAATAAACCAGGGGAGAGAGGAATTTATTTTTTTAGGCTTTTAAATGTTTGAGCCTTTTCAGATATTTAGGCAGCATGAACAACAACATATCTCGTTCTATTCCGATTATCTTTTTAAAGAAGAAATGTGCTGATACGTGCCGGGCATGTTGCATACAAAGGCAGTCGTTGTTGTGCCAAGCTGCAGCATAACTGTTCATCCTGAAACATTAATGAAGACAAAAGTTTGCTTCGGCCACATGATCCTGTAATTCTTGCCATGATGGCTGTCCCTCTGCACGTTGTCTTGGAGGCTAGATGGTGTTAATCCAAACCAGCACACCATTCCTCGTTTCCAGGAGTCTCTCCAGGTTCAGGTAGTGCTGGAAGAGGCTTTCATGGATAAGGAGGATGGCTCTCGGGAGCTCTGGGGCTCAATTTTGGGGGATGCCAGCCACTGCCAGGCGGTGAGGAGCTGCTGCTGCAGGAAGCGGCTGTAGGAGGTCACAGTGATGCCCTCCCTGTGGCTGGCTGCTCCCTCCTGTTTCCCCAGGGCACAGCACACTGCAGGGCTCTCAACCCCATCTCCCAGCCACAGGGTGCAGCTGAAGCCCTTGAGCTCTCTGGCTTGAGCTCAGCCCTCCTGTGCAGTGGAGGTGGGATGCAGCCACGTTCCACCAAGCAGTAGTGACTCGGTAACGCAGCCGTTCCTGCAGTGATGGTACAACCGTGGCCTTGGCGATTAAGCAAATGAATTTGGCAGGCAGATTAATGGCATTGCAAGTCATTGTGGTTTAATCTGCCTATCTAGAGGAACAGTAGGGCTTTGGAGGAAGCAACCCACTCTCATTTGGGCTGTTTGGTGTAATTTATAATGATGATGTAGCGGGGAAAAAAAATGAAGTGTGTGTGTGTGAAAATTGCCTGCTCATCTGATGTGAAAAATCTTTAGAAATAAATGGAAAGAGAATTGAAAACATGTAATATAATGACCAAGTAGCACAAGGAAAAGGTACTGTTAGTATGTATGTTTTAGCTGGGTGGGTATTCCCCCATGTTAGGTAGAAGAACACAGCCTGAAAGGAGCAAGCTGGGATTGCCTGCATTGAATTGCAATGAGCTTGCCTTGAAAAGGTTTTCTTCAGTTCATGTAGAAGTTTTCTTTGACTTTAGGCAATCACAAAGTGCATTTAGCCTGCTGGAACACGGAGGGGGTGTTCTGCTCATAGTGCCTGGAAGAGACTTAACGTTTCAAATGGGTTCTCACTGATTTGCCAAGCAAAGGGTTAGTGGGCCCTTGGCTGCAGACACAAAACTGTATCCAAATGTGTTGAATTGGACGATGTGTAGCTGCCTTTGGCTGCAGAGGTATCCGAGGTGCATGGAAGTTCAGTGCAGGTAGGTGAGCTGTGGAGAGGTACCTTCAGAAACATTGCATAGGATTTATGAACAAAATGTAATGGTTCCTCTGATTGGTTTGGTTTTTTTAGACGTTGCATTCCTACTTTAAGATGTTGCTGCATTTAATCAATGAAGTTTTACATGGCTATTTATTAGCCTGTTATGCACATACTGTTCATATACATAAAGAATAGAATTTATGGGCTGAGATATTTTGCACTTCTCATTACTCTGAATGAGATAACATTTTCTGCTTCTTGTAATTTGCACTTTGTGTCTTGAATATATTACTGCCAAAAATCATATTGCAACTAATTGATAAACCAGTGACCATGCGGAGAAGCGTGTGCTGTGTGTACAGGACCAAGTTAGATAATTAAATCTGCATTACGCTTGTCTGGGTCGAGGTGTTCTGGTTTATTTAAAACTTTATTTCTGTGCAAGGGAAAAGCAATTAAACCTCCTGATTGTACGTGTACATATATCAGTAAAATGAGACATTTTATGACTTCAAAGATTCGAAATAAAGCTCGGTTACTTAAGTAGCTGTGCATTTTATTTTGTTGTGGTTTTTTTTTTTTTTTTTTTCATTGCTACAATTTATTGCATGAGATATCTTTGTTTTCAGTTCCAAGCAGGGCTCATTATTGCCTTTGTGAGGGAGCAGGAGCTGCAGTACCAACCAAGGCCAGGCGCGGTCACAGGGAGAGCTCACATCACAGCTGTGCTACAGCTGCTCACCAGGATGGGCTCCTGCATGGGAAGGGCTCTGAGTTGGGAACGGCCACAAAGAGGTTGCTCACAAGAGGTATGCAGGCAGCAAAGCCAGGGAGATAAGAAGAGGATTAAGACGAAGGTGCAAAGCAGCCGCTGTTGTGACCAGAGGAATCCAACTCGGCACGAAGTGTGCTTGCTGGAGGCATCTCACAGCCGTTTGGAGGTGCCATGGCACCACGGTTTGAACTCATCATGCTGCTGGAAGGGCTCTCCTACCCTGATTGGTGGAACTTCTTTGTCAGAAGGGACACAGTTCCTCCTTCATCAAGAACAACCTCAACATCACCAGAAGCCATCTTCGGGCTGGTTGTATTTCTAGGCTAATTCTGCAAAGGGAAAGTTGTGCCTTTGTTTACACCAAGATTTTGTCATCCTTGCCATGTGAGTTCGCTGCGTGCCACAAAGTGGAGCCATCCCAGCATCACCCTCATGGCTGCGAGGGTCAACCTGCTGTAATGGGACTGTGGCAAATGGCACTGCTGCGTGTGGAATAGCTGTAATGCCTGTAAATTCCCTGTAATTAATCAAATGGCAATTACCACCCTGGAAGTCTGACTTACATAGAGCCTGTTGAGGTAATATGATTATGCTGAGATGGAGCAGTTAATGTACCTTCGCCTGAAAGAACTGGAATGAATTAATTTAACATTACACACGTATAAAACATCAGTTTTTACAGTTGTGCTGAGCATTGACATATAATTCCATTATCATCTTTCTCCACGGTCTCGCACTTCCATATCCATAATTTAGCTGTATTTACATTCTGGTTAAGCATCGTCACAGCCATTGTTTTTCATCTCAGCAGCAATGGGTGCTTTGTTCTCTAATGGACGTATTCCTGTGACACCTGGACCTCAAGATGGCAACAAGTCAGAGATCCCTGTGTTCTGCAGCATCCCGGGCTGGAAAGGGAGGAGGATCGCGTCCCTGATGCCTTCATCCTTCTCCCAACAAGACCCCAGAGGCTCTGCTCCACCGGCACATGCAGTAAAGCAGAGGGGCTGAAGCACAACAGGGAAAACATGAACTCCCTGCATCCCTGGTGCGTGTGCTGGAGGTGGTGTGCCTCTGGAACTGTTCTGGTAAAATTAAAAGTTACATCCTCATCAGAGTGATGGGACCAATGGAAGCTGCATTGACACAGGGTTATTCTGCCTGGCTGGGATGCCCTAGGCTGACTGCCTGCATGCTGAGCACGGCTTCTACTTTCCATCACGTCCTAAGAAACAACACCAGGCTGCAGTACTGCATTGCCTCACCAGCAAGCTGCCACCAGGAGGAGGTAAAAACAAAAGGGAAGAGGACTTGAAGGCCTGGTGATAGGATACTTCTGAAAAATGTGGTTTGGTTGTGCCTTGAACGCAACAACTGGCCTCTTCCCCTTCACTGATTCTTCACCCTGCACATGGCTGCTGTTGGTGTGTCTAGAACTGGCTGTGCAGGATGTGCCCTGAGCTGTGGGTCCCAGCAGCACAGCAGCCTCTCCTCTGCAGCTCAGCTGTGGGTGCAAGTTTGGAAATGGAATTTCATCTTTGCAGCCTTTGCATCATTTGTTGTACTTATCTGTCTCAAAGGGTGACTGCAGGTTCTTAAACAGAAACATCTGCCCTCAAACCAATATTCCCTATGAGCATTTTCAAGTTTTAAGAAAGCCTGTGTGTTTTTGCTTGCTGTTCCCGATCGCATCCCACCTCCCCCCATTCCTGGCTGCTGCTCCTGTGCCAGGAGGTGGCAGGGAGGTGACATGTCCACCCTGAACCCACGAGGAAAGCCTCCTGGATCCATGCTGTGTGGAGCTGTGAGCCCGGCTGTCCCGTGGCATTTTCTGCTGAAACGTCACTAGATGGAGCAATTGACAAAATAGTCCATTTCTGCTGCCTTCAGCCCACGTGGCCCAGGGCTCCCAGCCTCAACGCCTTCCCCTGCAGCAAAAAATGATCTGTGCCGAGAAGCTCATTCCCCCAAATGTATTAAATACTGAATTCCACCGCCAGCATCCCAGCTGCTGCTGGGCAGTTCCTGCGTGCGTGGAGCTGCAGTGTTTCTGGGGGTGAAGCACTTTGGGATGCCTGTGCCTGGAACTCGGATTTTTGCCTTTCCCAGCACCCAGCTGCTGCCTGCGGACACCAGAGGAGCTGAGCCAAGGCACGCCTGCCAGCTGCCCTGTAATTGAATTAACAGCACCGACATCGGAGTGAGGTGCTCTGCTCTCACTGTGCCCCTTTTTGGGGCCGCCCCTCGCCCTGTGCCGCTGTGCTGGGAGGCAGGAGAGCTGGAGGCCGCAGCGCTGGGAATGAGCTCAGCTCTAACAGCAGCCAACTGCTACATCGACGGCAGCCTGGACAATGTTAGCAAAGTGCTGCGGTGATTTCACCCCTTTCCTAAGATTTATGGGCTTGAGCCGATAGCCAGGAATTGTCTGCACCCTTACAGTGCAGATGAAGCCTGTGGCCGGGGAGCTTCCATTCCTCACGTGTCTTGGGGCCAGTATCACAGCAGTGCAGGGCTCTTCGCCTCCCCAGATTTCTGGATGCCACCTCGCAACCCAAGCAGCAGCTCCAGTGTGTTGGTCCCTGAGCCCTGCAGGGGCTTTGTTGTTCCTCTGGCACCAACCCCTGGGTACCACCAACCCCTGGGTACCACCAACCCCCTGTGCATGGGGACCAGGGACTGATGACCTGGGTGTCTCCAGGACACCTCCTGGCTCACATGCATTGGGACAAAGGCAGTGCTGGAGGGCTTTCTGCAAGGGTTATCTGTACGTGAGAAAAAAAGAGCAAATTGCTAACAGCCACCCACTTTTCCAGTCCTACTGCAATCCTGAGGGCTGTGGAGCAGCATGGCTCCAAAAGCTATGGAGATGCTCCAGATGAGGCTGTTGGGGTCCTTGCTCCCCGAAGAAAGACATTCTCTAAGTGCCCATAATGAGAGTGGAAAAATCCTAAGCAGTTGAGCTCTCACCATTCTTTCCCTTTGTAGCTAATCAGCTCCTCAATGGTGAGCCTACAACGATTGTTAGATTAATTTCTTTCCTTGCTGTGAGTTAATTGTCTCCATTTGTACTGCTCAGAGTTCGTGCTGGGGATGTATTTTTGCTTGGCTATATTTAGTTTGATTTCCACCATGATATCAAAATAGAGAAGTTTGGGCTGGCTCTGGTGCTCGGTGGCATTGAAACCCCACAGGTGATTTGCCACATGGGAGCTGCTCCAAGGGCCCCAGCACTGTTTGCATGAGTTTTGCCATATTTTCCATAGTACTTGGGCTGCTGCTCCAGGAGTATATCTCAGGCTGAGCAATCCCTCGGGAGATGGTTTGAGAGGAAAGAAGGAACTCTGTGGCCAAGGAATGAAAACAAACATCCGGAGGCTGTGAGGCTGTGGAGACAGAAGAAGCTAAAAAGTGATTTAATGGAGTGTGTGTGTATGGGTGCAGTGTGCGAGGGGCTCTCTTCCAGGCTCTTCTGCTTTTGGAAGTCTGTCTGTCCATCCCTTTGGCCTGCCAAGGGTAGCAGGAACAACAGCAAGCGCAGGTCAAAGTTTAACTTGGGTTTATTCATATGTGGGGGAGGTAACTGTGTTGGGGGATGGGGTTAAAAAAGGCAGGGGTGAGTGCTTCCACCTAAAGACATGGTGGAAGGAAAGCAAACAAAGCAGACACCAACCATCGGCTGAAAACAAGAGATTTGCTCTTAGCTGGGGTGAGGATGTTGTGCTAAATCCCTGCCCGTGCTCACAGAGTGGTTTGGGCTCCACGCAAACCAGTGGGCTTCATTTTCCCATCAGCTCGAACTTAATTAGAAAAAAAATAAGGGCCGTATGATAATTCTGAGTCCAGGCAAAACAATGTCTGCTGTACTCACATAATTTCCTACAGCATTAATTTTTAATTCTTACATCAGGCCGTGTGAGCAAACATAAATAGGATGTTATACTTTCTGTAATCCATCGGACTTGTGTTTGTTGTTTCCTATACGAACAATTGCTGCCTCCTACTACATCGGGGAGAGCTAATAATAAATATTAGGACACAAATTACAAGTTAAATGCAATACAGATAAGTGCTAAATTAAAAGGGCAGCTCCTGGTGAAGGCCGGAACAGCTCCTTCCCTTTGGCTGCTGTCCCGCTGGGGCTGTGCAGCGAGTGTTAACAGAGGGCAATGCAGAAACTGAATTTGAGCCGTTTGTGGCAATGCAGGTACAGAAGAGGGTTAATGAGAGGAGTGACCCCAGCTTGGTTGCCCTTCTCCCTCTCTGCCTCCTCCATGCTGGGTTCAGTCACCGGAGCCGTGCTGGGCGCTGTGCAGCAGTGCAGCGATGTCCTCATGGGCGCTCCTCTGGGCAATGGCCAGCGCTGTGTCTCCGTCCTGCAGGAGGGACAGGTGGTATTGATGTGAGCAGCACACAGCCTAGCCACGTTCACTGGGCCCAAAGCAGGCAGCCTGGCCTCAATCAGCTCAGCTGCACCACGGCACGTGTGTGCAGCCGGCATCATGCTGTGCAGGGCCTGAGCGCACCTCACCTGGTTTGTCAGCTCCAGCCGGCAGCCAGGCTGGGCCAGCAGCAGCCTGACCATGTTGGTGCTGCCCTGCTGGCAGGCCACCATCAGCGCCGTGCTGCCCTGCTCGTCCTGCAGGTTGACGTCGGCCTGGCAGGCCAGCAGGGCCCGCACCATGGCCTCCCGTTCGTGGCTCACCCCCAGCATCAGGGCCGTCTGCCCTCCCTGCAGAACACGCAGCTCAGGTCAGTCCTTTACAGCGTA